TCGGTTTTGGAGCTTTTGGAAGAGATTTGAAGAGGGAATTAAGGGGGTTTTCATTGAGGTAAGTTACTTGAGCCCTAATACTCGTATATATGGTTATTTACCGTTGTTTAAACATGTAATTTGTAAAAATGAGGGGTTAGGGCTTGAGATTTTTGGAGGAGTAATTTTAGGATTTGAAGGACCAAACGATGTCGGATTTTTATGAATTTTGTATGGTTAGACTCGTGAGTGAATGGGCTTTCTAGTTTTGTAAATTTTATCGAATTTTGATACGTGGGCCCGGGGGCCGGGTTTGAGCCAATTTCCGGTTTTGGTCTAATTTTATAGTTTTTCTTGTGGAATTCATTCCATTAGCGTGTATTGATGGTATTGTACTGATTGTGAATAGATTCGGAGCATTTGGAGGCCGAGTCTAGAGGCAAGAGCATTGCGGGGTAGAGATTTGACCGGTTTGAGGTAAGTAACGATTGTACATCTAGTCCTGAGGGTATAAAACCCCGGATTTCGTATCATTCTACTATTTTGAAGTGACGCACATGCTAAGTGACGGGCGTGTGGGCGTGCACTATTGGGGATTGTGTCTTGATTCGTCCTGTAGCAACTGTAAAGTTGCATATTTTATGGAAATTATAAGATACTTATGTGTTTTTAGAAGGAGTTTCTGTAAATTGGGCTGAATGCCATGTTTGGGTCTTGTGCCAGTGTTGTTTGGACTCTTAGGGGCCTTTTCTTTCTATCCTCTCATTGTTTTCGATTAAAAATCTATACTCAATCATGTTTATGCTTGTTTACTGCATAACTCAATTTTATGACTCTATTTTGATGCATATAAATATTTTGGGCCGAATGCCCTGTTTCACTGAAATGCCCGAGTGGCTTGAGAGGTTTATGACTGAGTGAGGCCGAGGGCCTGATTTGTGAGGATATTTATGGGATCGGGTTGCACGCCGCAACATGTTGCATATTTATGGGATCGGACTGCACGCCGCAACATGTTTGATATAGGTCGAGGGCCTGAGTGATTTACGCCATGATTTGGCTTGATATAGCACTTGGGCTGAAGGAGCCCCTCCGGAGTCCATACACACCCCCAGTGAGCGCAAGTACCTACTGAATGCGAGTGCGAGTGCGAGTGTCGAGTGCTGAGTGACTGGGAGGCATGATTGACTGTGAGGTATGCCCGATTGATAAAGAGTGATTGTGAGGTATGCCCGAGTGGCACGAGTGACTGTGAGGTTTGCCTGAGGTGCTGTATATGAGTGATGTTTTGCCCGAGGGGCTGTTTATGATTTCAACATTTTTCCTCACCTTTGCATTTTTCCTCTGTTTGAAAATTGTTGAAAAATATCTTTAAATGATTTTTACTGGAACTGGGTTTAAACGAGATGTTTTGATTCAAATCCTGATTTTAAAAGCATGTGGTATTTTACTGAGATTTCCTGATATGAACGTTATATGCTTTATTGCTCGTCACTACTGCTCAGTCTTTATTTATTGTTGTTACTTACTGAGTTGGCGTACTCACGTTACTCCTTCCACCTTGTGTGCAGATCCAGGTGTAGCTGGACACAGTAGCGGTTGTTGATTGTTCTGATTGTATATTTTCCCGGGGATAGCAAGGTAACTGCCTGGCGATTGTAGCCCTGCTCTTCTCCCTCTTATCTTCCTTTAGTTGTATTTAGCTATTTTCCAGACTGAGTTATTCTTGATATTGTTAGACAGATTGTATTAGATTTTCATGACTAGTGACACCCCGATGTCGGGCTTTTCCTTCCGCACTTTTATTTTGATTTGATCTCTATTACCAAGGTTTTTATGTTAAATAATATTGAAATTTTCTAACAAATGAAAATATCAATTTGTTTTGGAAATGAGTCGGCTTGCCCACTTCCACGATAGGCGCCATCACGACAGGGGTTAGTTTGGGTCGTGACAGATTGGTATCAGAGCCTAGGTTACATAGGTCTCACGAGTCATGAGCGGGTTTAGTAGAGTCCTATGGATCGGTACGGAGACGTCTGTACTTATCTTCGAGAGGCTGTAGAACCTTTAGGAAACTCCACATTCTTGAATTCTTGTCGTGCGAATATGTTGATTCTAGTAACTCAACATCTGTTGTTTCATTCTCTAACAGATGGTGATGACTCATGCTACCGGTCAGGAGGGCTAGCCACCGGTACCACCAGCCAGAGCCATGAGAGGTCGAGGCCGCGGTAGAGGCCATGGTAGGGGCAAAGGTGCAACCTGTACAGCAGCTGGGGCAGTACCTGCAGATCCACCAGTTGTCCCAGGTCAGGACCAGGTTCCAGTTGTTGATGCACCAGCTCAGGCACCACTTGTGCCTATTGTGATTCTAAACCTTTAGGAGGCCCTAGCTCAGATTCTGACAGCGTGTATCGTCCTTGCTCAGGCGGTCTCTATTTCGATGGCCACAGCCACTTCTCAAGCCAGGGGAGGCACTCAGACTCCCGTTGCTCGCACACCCGAGCAGGTTATTCGGGGACTTCAAACTCCGGAGGCACCACCAGCCCAGCCGTTTACCGTTGCTCAGGATTATATGGTTGCTGCTATGCCTGAGGATGATCAACGTAGGTTGGAGAGGTTTGGGAGACTCCAGCCACCACCTTTCAGTGGCACAGAGAGAGAGGATGCTCAGGACTTTTTGGATAGGTGTCAGAGGATACTCCGTACTGCTAGTATTCTGGAGACTTATGGGGTCTCATTCACTACCTTTCAGTTTTCCCTGGTGGGAGACTTACGAGAGGTGTAGGCCTGTTGGCGCCGCACCCCTTACTTGGCTGCAGTTCTCCGTGGTCTTTTTGGAGAAGTTTGAGTCAAGTTGGACAAGACTCTTCTGGCAGTGCCTCTAACTCTGCAAACTTTGCAGGTATGCTGAGTAGTCCTGTTGTTGCTGCTGTAGGAACTCTTTTGTGTTGCTTGTCCCAGTTCAAAAGTGATCCTTGGATTTTAGATTCAGGGGAAACTAACCACATCACACCTTATAAATATTTACTTTCTGATATTTCTCCTCTACCTTTTCCTAAACTTATCACTCTTCCTAATGGTTACAAAGCAAAAGTAGTCTCCTCTGGTTCCTTGTTTTTGAACTCTGATATTACTTTACCTGATATCTTGATTGTACCATATTTCCAGTTTAATCTTATTTTCGTTAGCCAATTACCTGATCAAATTCAATGTTCTTCTGCTCTTTTTACCAAATATTGTTGTACTTTGCAGGTCCCTTCTCTGAACAGACCACTGGCAATTGATAGAACTGTGAATGGACTTTATATCCTTCATTCTGAGGCTCATACATCCCCTACTCCATCTCCTGCTCTTTCAATATCTTTTCTCATTCCCCTTGTAAATATTTCTCAATCATACACTGATATCTCTTGTTATAACAGCAATGTGCATTCTGTTGATATGAATAAAACTAATATTTTCTGGCATCAAAAAATGGGTCATATGCCTTATAATATAATGTTGTCTATTCCTTCTCTTAAGAATAAACTTTCATCTAAACAATCTTTTATTTGTTCTGTGTGCCCTTTGGCAAGACAACAAAGGTTACCTTTTTCAGATAGTACCATAAAAACTAGTGTACCTTTCCAGCTTATACATATTGATCTTTAGGGACCATATTGTGTTAAAACCTACAATGGTTTCAGTTATTTTCTCACCATTATAGATGACTATACTAGAGTCACGTGGACACACCTTCTCTCTTGCAAGAGTAATGCCTTATCCATTATTAAAGCTTTTGTTCTCATGGTTAAGAATCACTTTCAATCTTCTATTCAAACCATAAGATCCGATAATGCGTATGAGTTGGGCAGCAGCTCTGAAGCTTCTTACTTTTTCTCTCAATCTAGCATATTACATCAAACTACAGTCCCTCACATTCCTCAATAAAATGAAGTGATTGAGAGGAAACATAAACATCTGCTTGAGACCTCTAGGGATCTATTGTACTAGTCTAAACTTCCTTTGAAATGTTGGGGTGATTGTGTGTTAACTGCTACGTATCTCATTAATCGATTTCTCTCTTCAACTTTATAGAATATTTCTCCTTTTGAAAATTTACATGGCTATCCCCATCCTATGATCATTTAAAGTCTTTTGGTTACCTATGTTTTGCTACTCTTCCCAAGTAGGGTAAAACCAAACTTTAACCTAGGGCAACTACTTGTGTTTTCTTGGGGTATCCCCTAGGAAAAAAGGGATACAAACTTCTCAATCTTTTATCTTACTCTATCCTTTATTCCAGGGATGCCATTTTTCATGAGACTGTCTTTCCATATCATTCTTCTTCTCCTCTTCCTCCTCCTCATATTTTCTCTTCTCCTCCTTGCTCACCTTTTATTGAGTTTCCACCTTCTGCATCCTCTCAACCATCCCCTTCATTGTCTACTCCTGTTCCAATTCCTCCTCCATCTATTTCTCCTACTCCTTTGCCTTTGTCACCTACTCCTTCACATGTTTCTCATTCATCTACACCCTTACCAGCATCACCTCCTGATCATCCTCTTAGGAAGTCTCTCAAAACCTCCAACTCACCTTCTTATCTTCAAGATTATATTTTCTCTCATGTTGCTCCTTCTTCTAAGGTCACTTATGCTGGGATTCCTATACAAGAGCCTCAATTTTATCATCAAGCTATCTCTAATCCTGCTTGACAAGAGGTTATGTTGAAGGAGTTTCAAGCTTTTGATGCAAATAGGACTTGGGACATAGTCCCTCTTCCTCTAGGTAAGAAGGTTATACCTTGTAAATGGGTGTATAAAGTTAAACAGAAATCAGATGGCCCCATTGAGAGGTATAAAGCTAGGTTAGTGATAAGGGGGGATTCCCAGAAAGAGGGTGTGGACTATACTGAGATATTTTCTCCAGTTATTAAAATCACCACCATTAAATGCCTTCTCTCCATTGCTGCCAAAAAGGGTTGGACTGTTTTTTAATTAGATGTCAATAATTCTTTCTTGCATGAAGAATTTTATATGCATGTTCCTCCTGGTTTAACTGTAACATCAACTTCCTCTACCTCTCATTCCTCTACCTTAGTCTGCAAACTTAGAAAATCCCTTTATGGCTTGAAGCAAGCCTCTAGGCAGTGGTTTGCTAAGTTGTGTGAATCCTTATTGTCTAAAGGGTATGTCTCTAGCAAAACTGATTATTCCTTGTTTACTAAGTGTTCTGGAGATTCTGTTATTGTTGTAGCTGTTTATGTCGATGATATTTTGCTAGCCGGGACTGATACAGTTGAAATGTTAGCCCTTAGATCCTTTTTGGACTCTCAGTTCAAAATTAAAGATCTTGGACCAGTACACTATTTCTTGGGCCTTGAAGTTCATCAGACACCTCATGGTTACCTTATCAACCAGTTGAAGTATACACAGGATCTACTTCATGAGTTTAACTGTGGTTCCTTGACTCCTGTTCTCACCCCTTTAGACTTCTCAGTCAAGCTCTCTCTTAACGAAGGTGATTGTCTTCCAGATCCTTCTGTATATAGACGGCTTATTGGCAAGTTGAATTTTTTACAACACACTAGACCGGATATTGCTTATTCAACTCAACACTTGAGCCAATTTCTCAAGGATCCTAGGGTCCCTCGCATGCTCAGTGCTATTCATGTTTTGCGGTACTTACTGAATGATCCTGGGCAAGACATCTTATTAAACAACTCTCCAGATTTTTCTTTGGTTGCATATGCTGATTCTGACTGGGCTGCTTGTCCAATTTTCAAAAGGTCAGTTAGTGGGTTTTATATCACACTTGGGGGTTCTCCTATCTCTTGGAAATCCAAGAAGCAACCAACAGTCTCTTTCTCTTCTGCGGAAGCAGAGTATCGCGCTCTGCGCAAAGTGGTTGCTGAGGTGTCTTGATTGATCATAATTCTTCATGATCTGGGGTGTCCAATTACTAAGCATGTCCCTGTATTTTGTGATAGTCAATGTGCCATTCACATAGCTAAAAATCCGGTCTTCCACGAGCGTACTAAACACATTGAAGTCGACTGTCACTATGTGTGTGACATGCTTCAGTCTGGGACTATTTCTCTCCATCATGTTTTTTTTGTTGATCAGCTTGCTGATCATCTGACTAAAGCATTATCTGGAGCTCCTCACCATCATTTGTTGTCCAAGCTTGGTGTCCAGTCGGCCTCCAGCTTGAGGGGGCAGATAGAAATACAACAGTCCAAGCCCAATCTACAGATCCGGCCCAAGTCAATCCTGCGCAGACAGTTTGAGCGGCTTCGCCAGGGTGATATGTCTGTGACACAGTATGAGATACGGTTCTCCGAGTTGGCCCGTCATGCGATCTGGTTGGTTCCCACGGACAGGGAGAGGATCATGAGGTTTATTGATGGTTTCACTTATCAACTACAGTTGCTCATGACCAGAGAGAGGGTTTCAGGTGCTACCTTTGATGAGGTTGTCGACATTGCTTGGCAGATTGAGATGTTTCGCGGTCAGGAGAGGGTTGAGAGGGAGGCCAAGAGACCTCGTGGTCAGGGTGGATACAGGGTGCTCCTTTTGGGGGTCAGTTTCATCACGGTAGAGGTCATCATTTCAGACAGGCTCAGTCAGCTCGACTATTTCACCATGGTGCATCATCTGGCCATGGTTCTCACAGTTCTTATCAGGGCCACTCATCACTTAGTGCCCTTCCAGCTCAGAGTTCGTCCTATGTTCCACCTATTCAGGGCTCCTCTATGCCAGGTTCCTCTACCAGTTTTCCCGGTGCTAGGGGTTCCCTTCAGTTTCCGCCACCAGCACCCGGGAGTTATTTCGAGTGTAGGGAGTTTAGGCACATGTGGAGGCATTGTCCTCGTCATCATGGAGGTCTATCTCAGCAGAGGAGTCAGCCTCTGACTTCAGCACCAGTTACCTCACCACCCGCCTAGTCAGCTCGGGGTGGAGGTCAGTCAGTTAGGGGTCGCCCTAGAGGAGGAGGCAGATCAGGGGGTGGCCAGGCCCGTTTCTATGCCATCTCTGCCATACCAGATGCTATTGCTTCAGATGCTGTGATTACAGGTATTGTCTCAATTTGCCACAAAGATGCCTCAGTATTATTTGACCCTGGTTCCATGTATTCATATATTTCCTCGTAATTCTCCCATTTTCTGGATATGCCCCATGAGTCTTTAGTTTCATATGTACATGTATCTACTCCTGTGGGCGATACTATTATTGTGGATCGCATATATCGGTCATATGTGGTGACTATTGGGGGTCTGGAGACCCAAGTGGACCTTTTGCTGCTCAGTATGGTCGACTTTGATGTGATATTGGGTATGGATTGGCTATCCATGTCATGTTGTTCTAGATTCTCACGCTAAGACAGTGACGTTGGCTATGCCGGAAATTCCGAGGGTTGAGTGGGGTGGTTCTGTAGATTATGTACCAAGTAGGGTGATTTCATATTTGAAGGCTCAGCGCATGGTTGAGAAGGTTTGCCTATCTTATTTGGCTTTTGTGAGGGATGTTAGTGCAGAGACTCCTACTATTAGTTCTATTCCAGTAGTACGTGATTTTCCGGATGTGTTTCCTGCAGACCTACCGGGCATGCCGCCTGATAGGGATATTGACTTTGGTATTGATTTGGTGCCGGGCACTCAGCCTATTTCTATTCCACCGTATCATATGGCACTGGCAGAGTTGAAGGAATTGAAAGAACAGCTTCAGGAACTCCTTGATAAGGAGTTTATTCGGCCTATTGTGTCACCTTAGGGTGCACCAGTTCTATTTGTAAAGAAGAAGGATGGTTCCATGAGAATGTGTATTGATTACATGCAGTTGAATAAGGTCACAGTCAAGAACAAGTATCCTTTGCCTCGTATTGATGATTTATTTGACCAGCTTCAGGGAGTAAGGGTGTTCTCCAAGATTGATTTGAGGTCCGGTTATCACCAGCTGAAGATTCGGGATTCAGATATTCTTAAGACAGCTTTCAGGACCAGATATGGCCATTATGAGTTCTTGGTGATGTCTTTTGGGCTGACCAATGCCCCAGCAACGTTCATGCATTTGATGAACAGTGTATTCCAGCCATATTTGGACTCATTCGTTGTTGTATTCATTGATGACATTCTGGTGTACTCTAGTAGCCAGGAGGAGCATGCTCAGCATTTGAGGATTGTATTACAGAGATTGAGGGAGGAGAAGTTGTATGCAAAGTTCTCCAAGTGTGAGTTTTGGCTCAGTTCAGTAGCATTCTTGGGACATGTGATGTCCAGTGAGGGTATTCAGGTGGATCCGAAGAAGATAGAGGCGGTGTAGAGTTGGCC